TTGAATTTTTGGTTCGGCCGGCGGCGGTCGGTCGGTCGGTCGGTGCGCAACGTGCAGCTGGGGAAAGTTATGGCGAACTCACGAGAACTTATCATCAATCTGACGGACCGGGAGGCTGTGGGCAGCGGTGCTGGAGGAGGCGAAGGAGGATCTGGTGGTGGTGCTGGTCGTGGTGGTGGCTGCTGCGACTTTGCTCCCCCTATACAGGACGGCGAGCTGGTCAAGGCTACTTCAACACTCTAGAAAATCGCACCTTAATAAAAAAACCTAAGCTTACGCTAACGTGGAAGCAGATGATATAGCATTCTGTTAATTTTGTGTTAATTTTATAATCGCGAAGAATAAAATTGAAAGTGATATTGTGTATTGTTACAAAGGGAAGAGTTTTTAATGTACTTGAAAATCTGAAAATTGCGTGTAGTTTTTGTGGATAAGCGAAATGTGTTCGTGGTCGGGTTGGTTCGTAAAGGAAGTCATGCGCATGTTGGTTGTGCAGCGTAGCGCAGTGTGTAATCTCCTGGGTGCTGTAATACATAGACGTAAATAGTGTCTGAACTTAATTACGTTGCATATGTAATACAGGTAATTACAGGTAATTACAGGTAATAATTACAGGTAATTACAGGTAATTAATGCAACAGGTGGGGACCCATGAACCACTTTTCTGGGACCACGGACCCCCTCCATCTCCTGGGTGCTGTAATACATAAACGTAAATAGTGTCTGAACTCAATTTCGTTGCATAGGTAATTACAGGTAATTTTAGCTAATTACAGGTAATTACAGGTAATTATTGCAACAGGTGGGGGCCCATGAACCACTTTTTTGGGACCACGGACCCCCTCCATCCCCTGGGGGCTCTAATATAGAGACGTAAATAGTGTCTGAACTTAATTCCGTCGCATAGGTAATTATAGGTAACTACAGGTAATTACATGTAATTACAGGTAATTACAAGTAATTACTGGTAATTAAGGTAATTACAGGTAATTACAGGTAATTACAGGTAATTACAGGTAACTAATGCAACAGGTGGGGGCCCATGAACCACTTTTTGGGACCACGGACCCCCTCCATCCTCTGGGGGCACTAATATAGAGACGTAAATAGTGTCTGAACTAAATTACGTCGCATAGGTAATTACAGGTAATTACAGGTAATTACAGGTAATTACAGGTAATTACAGGTAATTACAGGTAAT